ACAAAAAATATAACTTGTATATTAAAACACACATATTGAAATATTTTATTTCACAAGTGATGTATTACAATACTAAAAAACACAATGGCTACTGAGAATAATGAACAAGAAGAATTTAGTTTACTTGGAATTAAGTTCTAGAAAGACCTAAAAGGTAATAAATAACAGTTGTTATCTGATAGAAGAATACCAATTATTTGGCCATAGCTTTCTGAAATATTATACTGAAAAAAGTCTAAAGCAGGTACAGGTTCATTAAGAAAGTAATCTATTATTGATAGTGACTATGAAAAAGTTGGGGTACAAACTATGTTGATATGAATAAATGCTTATTAAACATAATGATCAGATCACCTTATGTGGATTAGAAAACATCCAAATCCTTCAGTTTTTCACTTTTAGGTAAAGGACAGAGTTTCCACAGACACACCTACAGAAAGGGAACTTGCTTTCCTTCCAGGTTATTACTTTCAAAATATTATATCATGCAGCAACATTCAACAAATATTTATTAACGAACACCCTGTATCAAGTACTCTGTGAGGCACTAAAGATATGAAAACAGCCTATAGATCTGGCAAGTAGGAGTCAAATGAGCAACTAAAATAAGAAATCAGTAAGTCCTATGGGAACACAATCACTACTGACATTGAATAAGGAATAAGGATTAGAAGACTGTGAGTATTCTAGAAAAGACCATGGCAAATGAAAAGGCCTGAAAGAGGATGAATCATTTGAGGAAATGAAAGAATTTCAGTACGTCTATCACAAAGGTATGTTGTTAGGGTGAGGAAATAGGAGACTGGGGACACTGGCTACAAATGGACGAAAATGATGCTGGAAAAATACACAGGGAGGGGAATCAGTTCACCAAAAATATCTAATGAACCTTGTATGGAGCAACTCTGCTAAATTCACTATTAATTCTAATAGTTTGTAGATCCTTTGTATTTTCTATATACACAATCAAGTTATCCATGAATAAAGACAATTTAACATCTTTCATCTAAGATTACACCTTTTATTTACTTTTCTTGCCTTATTGTAATGGTGAGGACCTGTACTCAATGGTAAATATAAGCTGTTATAGAAGCCATGCCAAACTCAGCAGAAAAGTATTTAATATATCACTACTGAGTATGATGTTGGCTGTAGATTTTTTTATAGATGGTCTTCATTATACTCAAGATTTTTCCTTCCATTCCTGACTTATGGAAAGCTTTACTTTTAATCACAAATGGCTATTTTATCAAAGGTTTTTTCCAGTTTTATTGAGATGATCATATGGGTTTTCTTCTTCATTGTAATAATATGGTGAATTCCACACCAACTGATTTTCAAATGTTAACCAACTTGTATTTCTGAAATACCGTTTTACTTGGTCCTGATATGTAATTCTTTTTACATATCACTTTTTTATATATATAACTCTTAATAATTATACATAAATTACACCAAGAAAGAAAGAAAATAAAGACAGAGAGGGAGGAGAGGGAGAGAGGGAAGTATTGGGTATGAGAAGGTAAAATTAAGAAAGACACGATAGCAGAAAATAATTGCTCAACTGAAAGTGAGTAATCCACATTGAGATAATCCCCCAAAGAAAACAGTTAAGAAATTGTTTTTTAATTAATCATTCTAAAGGGTGTAACAGCCAAATAATACAGGTACCAGAAAGAGATAATAAAGAAAACTTAGGACAAGAAATCATGAAAAAGTAACTTAAATTTTCTCAAAACTACACTGTTTGCATTTTCATGTTGAAGGGGCAAAGAACAATGTATGAACCAAAAAACACACTGTAAAGGCTCAGAAGAATGGGAACTAAGCCATACTACTAGCTCCCAGAGAGGAAAACAAGCCACTTACAAAGAAAATGATATCTAAAAGGCTTCAGACTCTTCAACCACAATATTAGACCAATGCCTTCAAAATTTAAGCAAGAATTTTCAAACAAGATCAACCAGACATTATTTTAAAGGAAGCTAATAAAGAACTTAATCTATCAAAATGGGAGCACAAAGCAAACTGGGCCAAAGAGAGGGATGAAATATTATATTTTCCATTGCAAATTTTATGTGATCAGTAGCATTTATAATTTTGATGAAAACAAATCTAAAAAATTGATCAAATGCAATAAAAGTGACACATAATTTTTACAAGTCAGGAAAGAACATTTAGCTATGTAAAATTGTACTTCAAATCTAATATATTTTTAAAAGTAAGTAGTTGGAGAAATTTTTTTTAATTAGACAAAGCAAATTAAACATACTCAAATGCTATTAGTAATATTAACTTTTACAGCTTTATGAAATTTTTCTGACCAAAGTAAAAGTTGAGAAATGCTGAACATCAATAATTGACATAAAAAAAAGCTTCAAAAATGAAATGAAGGGAGAAGAATCTGCCTCTGTGAATTACATACAAACAAAACAGACATAGCAGAGTCCTTTAGCAATAAAGTTTTTGATTCCAATCATCCAAAGAGAAAGCTGACTATTCCAAAAACTTTCCAGAAAAAGATGTTTTACTATCTTCTTTGTCAAAAGATTTCACCAAAATAAAAAAGCAATAGAAAACGGAGCAAGAGACAGAGTACAAAAGAGAAAGAGACAAAGAAAGAGCTGGAATCTGCACATGCCAAATATTTCAATAACAAGGAGAAAAATCTCCACATGACTGCAGATATTGTTGATCTTGTCACCTCTACCCTTCCCATTTCAATTAAGCAGATTTAATCACTAAATTAATCCTCAACCTTACTTATGTATATAATGCATAATGCACATGGTAGTAAGTTTCAATAACTAGCACCCAGCAATTTAGGGAATTAACTACTAAAAGAAGTATTATAAGGAAGATTTTCCAGTTTCTGGTAAAACTTTAAAAATATAATAAAATTAAAAAACTCTAATATCCTTTTAAAAAGATTTTGAAGTACGCAAACAATATTAAAATGATTGTGTGCACATGCAAAAATACCATTGAGTGAACACAGCCAAGTTCATGAGAAAATACAGCATTGAGAAGGCTCAGATCATTAAAGAGTCAGTAGTTACTAAGGCACCCAAATAGCAGATTTAATTTAAACACATATTTGATTTTTTTAAATAAATATACAACATACACAATATGTAAGTACAACACTAAGAAGTACTCGCTATTAAAGTAGAGATCCAAGGTCAAAAGCCCCAAGTTATACTTCTGACACTGCTGGAAATGCAGACCACAGACTCATCTACAATCAAGATAACGGTGAAAACCAAGCTCTTGAAGGCAGTAAGCATAACTAAGAAGGCAAAGACACGAGAAAAACAGAGACTTGGGGAATACCCACAGAGGAAAGCTAAGCCAGAAACAAAACAAAAGCAGCACAGTCAGCAAGGAAGGGATCTGGGAAGAGCAATGCCATGAAAACCAAGAGAGAAGAGGCCTTCGAGAAGGAGCCAGCAAAGTCAGAGGCTAAATTGAGATCAAAGACAATGAAGATAAATTAAAACCACAGTGGAAAGTGAATGGCCATATTGAATTGGTTAAGGTTACCTATTTCCATCTCAACTGACAAAACGAAGAGTTTATCTGGTGGGGAGGCAGGGCAGAGGTATGGACACTTGGAGGAAAACAGACTTTAGTACATCAATAATTGACATAAAAAAAAGCTTCAAAAATGAAATGAAGGGAGAAGAATCTGCCTCTGTGAATTACATACAAACAAAACAGACATAGCAGAGTCCTTTAGCAATAAAGTTTTTGATTCCAATCATCCAAAGAGAAAGCTGACTATTCCAAAAACTTTCCAGAAAAAGATGTTTTACTATCTTCTTTGTCAAAAGATTTCACCAAAATAAAAAAGCAATAGAAAACGGAGCAAGAGACAGAGTACAAAAGAGAAAGAGACAAAGAAAGAGCTGGAATCTGCACATGCCAAATATTTCAATAACAAGGAGAAAAATCTCCACATGACTGCAGATATTGTTGATCTTGTCACCTCTACCCTTCCCATTTCAATTAAGCAGATTTAATCACTAAATTAATCCTCAACCTTACTTATGTATATAATGCATAATGCACATGGTAGTAAGTTTCAATAACTAGCACCCAGCAATTTAGGGAATTAACTACTAAAAGAAGTATTATAAGGAAGATTTTCCAGTTTCTGGTAAAACTTTAAAAATATAATAAAATTAAAAAACTCTAATATCCTTTTAAAAAGATTTTGAAGTACGCAAACAATATTAAAATGATTGTGTGCACATGCAAAAATACCATTGAGTGAACACAGCCAAGTTCATGAGAAAATACAGCATTGAGAAGGCTCAGATCATTAAAGAGTCAGTAGTTACTAAGGCACCCAAATAGCAGATTTAATTTAAACACATATTTGATTTTTTTAAATAAATATACAACATACACAATATGTAAGTACAACACTAAGAAGTACTCGCTATTAAAGTAGAGATCCAAGGTCAAAAGCCCCAAGTTATACTTCTGACACTGCTGGAAATGCAGACCACAGACTCATCTACAATCAAGATAACGGTGAAAACCAAGCTCTTGAAGGCAGTAAGCATAACTAAGAAGGCAAAGACACGAGAAAAACAGAGACTTGGGGAATACCCACAGAGGAAAGCTAAGCCAGAAACAAAACAAAAGCAGCACAGTCAGCAAGGAAGGGATCTGGGAAGAGCAATGCCATGAAAACCAAGAGAGAAGAGGCCTTCGAGAAGGAGCCAGCAAAGTCAGAGGCTAAATTGAGATCAAAGACAATGAAGATAAATTAAAACCACAGTGGAAAGTGAATGGCCATATTGAATTGGTTAAGGTTACCTATTTCCATCTCAACTGACAAAACGAAGAGTTTATCTGGTGGGGAGGCAGGGCAGAGGTATGGACACTTGGAGGAAAACAGACTTTAGTTCATTCTTGCTGTCTACAGTCCAAGACCAATAAAAAAGAAACTACTTCTGAACGATTTGTTTCTTCTTAAGGGCTACACTCACCAAACTGTGGAGCAGGCAAGATTCTAGCTGCTCGAGTTGGGCCATGTCGAACAGAAAAGAGCTCCTGTGCTTCTCCACTGATCTGCACAAGAAGACAGAAAAATTCAGTAAACGAAAAAACAGGTCAGAGGGTTATTATACAAAACTAAGATCTTCTAAATTTCATTGCAATTTTTTGTTTGAAATGTAGTATGTACACACACACATACACAGACACACATACATTCATGGTTGGTCATACACATTAAGTATATTCATATCTTAAATTATCATAAATAGTTTTAGAAAATTATTAGGAGCACATACTTGATGTGAATAGGAAAATAAATGCTCTATTCTGGAATCTGTCATTTTTATCTTTAATAAATCTTTACCTTTCATTTTGAAGCAAAGCAGCTATGATTTTTTAAATTGATATTCAGTTTTACATTTAAGAAAAAGGTAAATATTCTCATATTGTGAAAAGCGGAACTTAAATGTATTGCACAGAACCTAAGGGAATATATGACATAGGTATTAGTTGCGGTTCTGCAACTATCTAGCTGTTAATACCTTGAGTAAATCATTTAATCTCCATAAACCTATATTCTTTTTTCTTTTTTAAGTATATTTTGAATAAAATTTTTATGTATTTAAGGTGTACAATGTGATGACTTGATATACACATACAATGAAATGATTACTGCATTCATCTCCTCAGAGCCTGATGACAGAGCCTGATAGCTGCTCTTAACATTTTTCTAGTATTCGTTCAATATAGTATTAGTAACTATAGTCATACTTGAACATTAGGCCTTAGACTTATTCATCCTATGTAACAACAACTTTGTACCCTTTGACCAGCATCTCCTGATTTCTCCCACTCCCCTAAATGGATATTCTTTTGCATTTGTAAATTGAGAAGGTAAAGATGTTAAATAACCTCAAAGATACTTCTAATTTCAATATTCTATGAATAAAAAAAGAATATATAAGCATTTTTAAGTATCATTTTTTATGCACATATATCAGATACAGTATGAACATCCGTTCATATCAGATTGATTCCTCAGATATAAAGAGTAGAGTATTCTATTAATCCAAAGGTAAAGGGGATATGATAATATGTGTCAAGTGTGAAAACTGCTTTTCAAAATCAGTGGTTCAAGGTAACAGTTCATTGCTAATTGGAAGTATTGAGCAGATTAAAACAGAATTAGTTAAGAAAGGCTTTCTAGACTACTTTAAGTGGTAATGTAGTTCCCAATATATTTGTCAAGTGTTTGATGTAATATGTAATATCAGAAAGGGAAAATGGGGAACATTATAAAACTAGTTCTAAGTATCCAAGAACTTAGAACAAATGTAACATAAATTTTCAATAGAGGAAACATGCTGATGGCATATTTTTTTAAACAGATCTGCCAAATAAGGGGCTTAAAATATCAACAATGTATACATTATAAAATAAAGGGCTTATAAATCTTTCAAAATTTAACTATAAAATCTGAGGAACTGCCACTTTTTAGATTAAGTACTTTTTTAGATCATCTGCTTCTCTTCTGTCTGAATTTAAGAACAGCAAACCATATTTTTGTTACTTATAAATGTGGAAATGCCTAAAGAGCAATTATATTCATTTTGCTTATAAAAATTAATACAACTTATTTATTGGCCGCAATGGCAAATCCCTTCTATCACTTGGAATGCAGAGGTACGAGAAAGGCTAGACTCTTCACACTAACTATGCAACAGCACCACCTATCACCAATTAAACACACAAAAGCCACCAACTCGTACAGTGAGCTAGCAGAATTTAGCTTTCTACTAATTCCTTTGTGAACATTGATTTTGTACCTGAAAACCATGGCCATTATATACTGTAGCTCTTAAGTCTGCAGTTTATTTTTATAGGACAGAATTTAAAATTTAGAAAAAGCCGTAAAAGGTCACTTTGTTCAACCTCCCACCCGATGCAGTAATCAATCTCATATTCTCTGAAATCCAAAAATTACAACCTCCTTGATTTTAAGCACATTTTCACTAAAAGGTAATATCACCAATGTAGTTCCATTATATTATAGTGCCATTATTAGCACCAAGGCTGACAATGGATAAATAATCTTCTTCAATATACACAATATTTCTATTAGTAAGGAAATGAAAAATAAATTATAAAATGATGGTGTAGATACTTGCATTTAAATTCTAATTCAGAGTAATGACAAATACTTCTCACTATAACAAGTAGGTTTGTACCTATAACACCTCATAGTATTCTAACACAAAATCTACTGCTCTGTACTATTATTTCCATATACCACAGGTCTAGCATTTGGAAAAGTTTTTTTAAAAGTCTATAATCATATTTAACTGAGCTGCTATACTAAATTATACTAAATAATAAAAGTTAAAATAAACCTGTCTTGTATACTCACACTACGATAAGCATTGTTATCACTGGATTTAATACACAGGAGCTTATTTGACCTAGAGAAACATTTTGAAATCTGAACACACCATCCTTTTCAGCATAAGAGCTTTCAAAACAGACATAAATGCTCTACTTTATTCTAAGCTTCTAATCTAAATCCCTCTTTAAACATACAGCAACAGGTAAGAAAAAACATTAGGAATGATTACAAAGTGTATCCCCAAATTCATTACCCAGCCATCATTACCTACAAGTTAAGATCTTAGGATCTTGGTTTAATTATAACATAGAGGAAAGGAAGGAGGGAAGAACCATTCTCTATTTATAGATATTTTTGAATGTGTTAAAATCTAGATTGTTAGAAGCACAATTCTATAAAGTATCCTAAGGGAGTCACAAGTGTCTAACTTCCCAAAGGAGGGAACTCTCTCATTAGTATGTGTAAATTCTACATGGAATACTATTTCAGAATAGAGACAGTGCTACCAGAGTGTACACAGATAGGATGTGCACAATTTAGGAAGAACACAGAGAGACGGCTCTATGTCCTTACAAGCTCAGCTTCAGCTGCTGTTTTCAATTGCCTCTAATAATTCTGTACAGTATGTTCACTGCTCTCAAATAAGTGAGTGTCAAAACTGATTGTTTTTACAGGCTTTCAAAGTGATTTTTATGTTTCTTAAAAAGAGGTCATTGAAAATGGCAAACAATCTCAAAGATGAGGATTTTATAGATCATGACAAGAATTTCCAGGAGCTCTAAGTTCACTTTTAAACCAACAATAATAATAAGTATAAGGGTAGAGCTACAAGAAAGGAGTGTACCAAGCAATGTTCCAACTTCTTGGCAACTGCAAAAACTTGGGGAGAGGAGCAAACAGGGAGGAAACCTCTGCAATAGCTCCTCGTGGGTCTCTGCCTTTGTTCTTACTGGCATTTTAATTTCTGATGACAGACTTTTGTTGTTTAGAGCATAAACCGGACGTACCAGTTTGGAGGCACAATAAAGAGAACAAAGAATGATTTGTTCACACTGTAGGAAAAAAATATTTTCCAACCATAGAAAATAGCTTTCACATGGTGAAAATATGCAAATTACATACCAAACCAAAAAAGAGAGGAGGCTAAAATACAAGTTTAGAACCTCACAACTCAATCTAAGGAAAAAGGAAATTATAACAGCTGAGACAATAATACACACAGAGAGAAGACTGTAAAATTTGTGGGAGTTTTATTAGTACTTGCAGGGAATGCTAAAGCAAATGAAGGTCATCTAGCCCTCAGAACCTAACTTGTTTCTGAAATCCTAATGACTTTTCAAAGGCACCTAACTACAGTATAGAAAATTCAATCAAATACCAAAGATAATAATAATAGTACTCTACCATGACACAGAATAAGGACAAGAGTTCATATTTACACCCCTAACTTCCCTTTTAGACACTGGTCAGTGAAGAACTGTGGTCTGCAATTGATTTTGTTTAGCAAGCTTTTTTGAGAGATAACAGATATAAAAATAATACATAAATCTTATGTTATGTACAGCTTAATGAATTTTCAATGTTAATACACCTCTTTTACCAGCACAGACATCAAGAAACAGAACATTATGGATATTCAGAAGGTCCCTCCACACCCATTCCCAGTAACAAAGCCAACTTAAGAATAACCGTAACCTCTATCTTCACTCTTAATGCCTCACATAAATTTTACTTATTCAATTTTATGTGAATAGAATCACATAGTATGTACTCTTATGTGAATAGCTTCTTTCACACATTATATGCTTATGAAATTCATTCTTTTTGCATATGATTGCAGGACTTTTTTCCTGTTGCTATATAGATTTCCACTATAAAATAGTACAATTTACCTACTCTACTGCTGATGGACTTTGGGGTTGTTTCTAGTTTGGGGCTCTTCAGATGTCAGGAAAAAATGCAACACATTCTCAAATGGGTAAAAGATCACTACATATTTTTTCAGTGGATTACCAAGAGTTGTCTAGTGGACACTTTGGTGTGGTTTGATTCTCTAAGGATCTCCATCTTTGCCTTGACTGGGCTATTTTACAATATCGTAAGTTGCAGAAAACAGTGACGAAATTATCTCATCCATGGAAATGCAAATGAAGTTTGTCCGATAGAAATACATTTGAACTCCACTCCATAAAAAAGATCATTTCAAGCAGTATGTTTTAGCCCCAATAGGATATTAACCAGGTTTGCATCTCACAAATTGACTTCAGCATGCCTAATTGCCTGTAACTATTCTTCAGATTACCCTTTGAACCAGTTGTAACAAATGCCAAATACTGTATTAATTAATGAGTTAAATAAAATCTATGGTATAAATGATATCATAAAGAATACTGTTATGAATATTCATTTAGTGAACATATATAGGTATTTCTTTTGCATATCTACTAGAATTGCTTTTATAGTAGGAATGTGTGCATATTTTGTAGATTTGAACAAAATAGTTTTTTACAGTGAATGTACCAGTTTACATTTTCACCAGCAATTTAAGAGTTTTACCTTCTCCCCATCTTCCTAACAGTTTGTATCAGTCATTCTGGTGGGTGTTCAGTGGGATTCTCACTATGGTTTTAATTTGCATTTTCTTCATGACTAAGGAAACTGATCAAACACTTGTCATATGCTTATTGGA